AAGTCAATGCATTTTCAAGTGGCCACGGTGGAAAAAATAGTGGCCTAGTGGAATGGCAAACAAGATAAACCAAAAAGATTTTAACGTTTAAGGAACATCAAAATGTAAGGTGCCAGATTAATGGCCTGTGAACTAACACTTCTGCAGGCATGAACCATTGCCTGAATTGGCCCTACCGTTAAGCACACTGAGAAGCTGCCTTAGGAGTAAACACTGCAAAGCAGCAGGGGCTGTTCTCAGTCACTTGTGAGCTTTTTCTCTGAAGGCCATCTCTACCATAGACTCATTGCCAGCCTTGTGAAGTACAGTTATCCATACAAGAAGCACACATCAGAATACTAATTCTAACTTTATTGTAAGGTTACATTACCAGAATCTTGCAAGTCTGAAGACACAAACTTCCTACTATCTGATTAATTAAAGTGGGCCTTTCTTAAATTTCTTGGAGGCTGCCCCTTCTTTTGTCTGATTATTTCCTAGGTAGCATCTTTTTTTCTTGTCCCCCAAAACATTCACACATTCCATTACACTTAGAAAGAGTCCCTTTTGAGATATTTCTAACATCAACATTCTTTCTACAGGCTCAGCTGTCACTTGTCTGACTGTTGACAAGTCAGAGGCTCTTCCACCTGTCTCCATGGTCATTCCCACTTATTACAATCAGCATCTTGTTGCTTAGTTAGATTATTACAGTTCATTTTACATGGGGCTACCCTTGAAGGCAACTTGGAATCTGCAGCTGGTTCAAAATGCAGTAACGTAACTGCCTCCCAGCATTACATAATAACATTTGACTCGTGGAAGTAGAGTTCTTGGTCTAATTTAAGTCCTGGTGGCTACCTAGGAAAACTTTTTACACTCAGACAGTTTTCTCCATATAGTATCTGCTCATTCTTTATTTTATTTTTTATTTATTTCTTTTTGTCAATTGCTTACAAGATAATGTATAAGTAAAAACATAGTTATGAATACACGGATATATATAAGAAAAATAAAAAAATAAAAGAAACAATAGGACAGGGACGGTAGGCACGATGGTGCGCTTATGCACGCCCCCCTACAGACCTCTTAGAAAAGGGGTGAGGTCAATTGTTATGTCCTGAGGACTCAAGGAGTTCTCACTCAGGTCCACTCACTTATGTGGGCGTTATTCCCCCATTCCCATTGGTTGGTTCTCCCCAGCAGCCAGCTATAA